GTGACTGCAGAGAACGAGACGGGCAGCACCACTCTGGAATTGACTTTCTCAGTGAAGTTGATGAGACCAGAGTCGCTGTCGTACCCAGAGAAGAACATCGAGCACCCTCATGGATTGAATGTTTCTCGTGCTGTCTTGTTTCATGCCCTCTGTCTCTCTGTCTCTCAGTCTCTCTCTCTCTCTCTCATGTTCGATACTTATACATGTATATGTAGATCATGTTTTTTGCAATTTGTGATCCTGCGAGATACCCTGCCCCCCGGTTCGAATCGGTCCGGATGGCGGGCGAACGGCACCACTAGGGCCCCAAATGGCCCCAAACACCCGAAGACAACCTAAATAACAACCCCACGAGGACTTCGACATGCAGAAAAACATTGATTTCCATTGGTTGTTTGCATGAATTTGGGCATGCTCTGTTCTTCGGTCTTCCAGATGTTCGACGCCGCACAAGAGGCCTGACACTGGCACCAAAACTATCCGAAAGCGCATCCAGACAGTCCAAGAAACGCCCAAAACGGCCCGAAAAGTCCCCAAGATGGACCCCGAAGAGAGCCCCATGACGGCCCAGGGTGGCCCCAAGACGCCCCCCGAAGCATTCCAAATCGTGACCTGGTCTTTCAGGGAGACCGCAGTTGGAAGCAGGGTGGCCCGAGGACCCCCCCAAAGGCGCCCAGGAGGCCTCCAGAAGACCCCCAAGAAGCCATGCCAAATTGTTGTGAGGCCCCAGAAACTCCTCAAGGAGGTGCCTCCGCAAACAGAGCAAAGGAGGATGGGGAAGAATTCGCAGGGGAGTCCGAGAAGATGAAACATGAAAGAAGGAACACGAATTTAATTATTATGGCGACGACGTTGGACAAGGCAACGCGTAGGTAGCGCTATGGTGGTTGTTTAACCGTCCTGCCCTTCCGCCGCGACTTCCGCCTGCATGCCACACTTTGAGGACAAAGGTGCATGACGCGGAACGCCAATACAGTTTTGTACGTATACAGAGACCATCTAAAGGTATCACGCGTCGTTGATTTTGTATTGCGTAACGTTCGACCGTATACCATTAATCTCCGTACGATTGCATGCAATATTATAGTTGTTATATATTACACACATATTGCGTTGTTGCCTTATCTGGTATCGCATTAGTGTATATACTCGTTATTGTATGTTGTTTAGTTACATGTCCTATGATATCGTAGATCGTGGTGCATCATTACAAACTATTATGTACTAGCGCAGAAATGTGTTATAGTACCGCGCAATACTTTACTACTACATACGGCCGTATAATACGATGCCACAGAAGCATACTGTCATATTTCAATCGCGTCGCACCATATAGTATACATTAATATGGTATGTTATTGCATACTACGATATAGCGAACGACTGTTTAACCATGTCGTATGATGTATCATAATAAAATACTATATATTTAAACTGGATCATGATCTAACATCACATGTGTATTTCACATTCGCTTCCGTTCCAAATGTTTTGTCTTGGAGTCTTCCCGGGTCGCCCGGCAGGTGCCGGGGAGGCGTTGTTGCGGTGAGGACGGATGCCGCCCGAGAGGGGCCTGCGCGCCGAGACAAGGCAACATGTTGAGGTGTTTCGGCCCGTTTCGCATGTGACATCGTCGTACATCTGCGATCCTGATTTGACATGGTCTGGCGCCACTTTCGCTTGAAACATCATCGCGGCTCTGAGCTCCCAGACGCTTTGCGAGATGTGGTCCCGCCCACATCGCTTGAAACATCCTGAACATATTTGGGCTCAGGGATACCAGACCTGATTTTGCCTCGTCCGTTTCGCTTGAGGCATCGTCGCCCCCTCAGACAGCGGGGCCGCCCGACGGGCCGCAGAGGACTGCCCCCGCACGAGGCGGCAAAGTTCGCATCGGCAGCAGATCCTTCGATGCGATTTGCGACATAATTGATCAGTGTATTGAGCTTCGCATCCCAATATTCATTGAACCTTGCAGGGTCGTTGTTGTGGCGCGCCAGGCGGATAAATCGATTACTCCAGGCAACCCCAGTTCAGCTCGTCACTGTCGGCTGCTGCCAATTCGGAACTCGTTGGCGGAAGCGCACCTCAGATGCGGCCTGAAACGCATTCAGTCTTCGGGGTCTGCATCTGTGAATATGCGCTGCAGCGGCCGTCGCAACCTTTGCTCCAGGACGCAACAGCCGCGCGCAATCTTCATTGGCCCTTGCGACGGCTTTCACTTGCCGCTCAGGCTGCCGCCTATCCGCCCAGGCTGGCTCGTTCCATTGAACAATCGATGCTTGGTCGCACTCATATGTATATGAGTGAGCATTGTTGTCGTTAGCCTGCGCCGTAAGTTTTGTTTCCTCATCGGCCTTCCGGCCAGTCCCCTTTACCGTCTGGGCGTTTCAGATTGCGCGCGCGCCGTTGCCGCCTCGCCTGTCTGCGCCGTCGCCTCGAGGCCGACCTTGAACGCCCGGGCCCTTCCCGCGCGAGACCGTCGGAAATCGGGGGCGCGTTTTTGATCGGGCGGGCGCCTTTCCGCCTGACCCCGCCCTTTCCTTTTTCAGAGTGGTCGCTCTTGGCTGGCTCTCGGACGCGGAGACGGGCTGCGCGCTGTTTTACAGCAGCTTGCGTAGACGCAGCGAGAGGGGGCCGCGCGGCGACTCGACCGTCGCCGTCGCGGGGCTCAAAGAGCAGCCCCGCCCGCGGGCCGCCTTGGATTTTTTATATATATATATAATATATACATATATATATATATATATATATAAATGTGTATTTTTCAACAAAAAAACTGCATGCCTTTTGATCCCCCTCGCCCCTGGGGGCCCCGCGCGCGCCGCCGCCGCCTCGCCCGCGCCGCTGCCTCGAGGCCGACCTCGAACGCCTGGGCCCGCCCCGCGCGAGACCGTCGGATAACGGGGGCGCGTTGTTGGCCGGGCCGGCGCCCTTCCGCCCGACCCCGCTCTTATCGTTTTCAAGGTGATCGTTCTCGGCTGGCCTTCGGGAGTGGGGGGCAGGCTCTATTGCGCGTGCATGTACGATTGCATATGTATATATATATATATAGCTAATTATTTTTTTTTTATATATATATATACATATATATATGCATATGTACATATATATATGTATATATATATATATATACATGTATATATATACACGCACAGTCGCAAGGGCCGCGCCCCCTGCCGCGGACCACCTATTTCAAACAATCGCACGTGCAGAAGCTGCGCGGGGAGGGCTGGGCGCCGTCGCGACGCTGCGTCGGAACTCCGAGCGATGGCCAATGTCGCGCGCAATGCGGGTTGCATTGCGAGCCCGAAACGGATCGTTCCAGGCCAGGACCTTGCAATCTCAACGTTTCCATCCGACAGTGCATGGCGACGCGCGCGACCGATCAGATTTCGGCCCTGCGGCAGCGTGCGCGGTTTTCTTAGATATACGAGGTCCAGGGTCGGCGCGAATCTTTCGTTTTGCGCACCGCGCGCGCGGCGCCGCGGCTTGATATATATATATATATATATATGTGTGCGTGTGCATATATATATATATATATATATATATATATGTATATATATAGGGGGGGGATCGCGACGAGGAAAAGACGCGCTGAGCGCAGACCGTTCTTCGGGGGCGAGCGGCGTCGCGGCCGGGGCGGGCGGGGGCGGTTGGCAGGCGGGGGCGACGCGGGTCGTTCTGCGACGGCCTTTTGCGGTGCGCCCGCTCAACCCGCGACGCTCGGGGACGTGGGCGATCGTCGTAGATGCGCGAGCTGTTCTGCGATGGCCGCGCGGGCGCGAACGTTGCGCAACGCGCGAGGGGGCGTGGCTTCAGGGGCGCAAGTATCGTTTAATTTGCGAGGGTTCATGGCCTCGGGGGCGAAACTATTGCGCCGTCTAAGTAGTTTGAAGCCTCGGGCGCGCCCGTATTCTAGTAAGTGATATTGCCTCGGGGACGCGCGCGCCATTTGTTGGATTTTGTCGCGTCGGGGGCGCGCGTGTAGAGTCGCCCGCTAGGTTTGCAGCCTCGGGGGCGCAGCCACGGCGTAATGCGTTATGTTTTATAGCCGCGAGAACACGATTGCGCAATGCGCATGGGATTTTTGTCTCGGGGGCGCGAATTTCACGTGTTTGTCACGCGTCCCGCGCCCCCCCGGGAATGCAGACAGCGCGATCCGGGCGCGGCAGCTTGCCCCCCCCCCCCCCCCTCGCGCGTTCAGTGACAATCAAAAATATGAAGCAGTGAGTAGAGTTATCGCATTGGGAATTGGAACTGGAAACTGACGCAGGGAGCAGCAAACCTCGCCCTAAAGCCTGATGGCCCCGCAAGGGGGCCGGATGATATATATATATATATATATATAGATGTATATATATATACACATATATATATACATATGTATATATATATATACATATACATATACATAATCATATGTATATGAAAGAGCGCATTCTTCCGCTGCTGGCGGAAAACCGGGGGGGGGCACTGCCGGTTCGACCCCCCCTTCCCCCCGCTGCCGGTTCGAAGCCCACCCCTTTCGGAAAACCGGGGGGGGGGGGGGGGGGGGGGGGGGCGCGGCCGGTTCGAGCCCCCCCCCCCCCCGTCCACCATGAAAAGGGGGGTGGGCCACTGCCGGTTCGAACCCCCCCTTCGAAAACCAGGGGGGGTCACTGCCGGTTCAACCCCCTCCTTTCGAAAACCGGGCGGGGTGGGGGGGGGCGCGGATGGCGGGGGCGGCGGCGGCGGGGGCAGCGGCGAGGGGGCAGCGGGACTTTGGTGGGAACAGTGGGGCAGAAGCGGGGGCGGTAGTGGTGGGGGCAGCGTTGGGGGCGGCGGTGAGGACAGCGGCGCGACAGTAGCGCAGCGGGGGAAGTGGCGGGGGCGCTGGGGGCAGCGGGGCAGCGATGGGGGCAGCGGGGGCGCAGGGGCAGCACAGTGGGACAGCGGCGGGGACAGTGGGGCAGCAGTGGGGGCAGTGGGGGCAGCGGGGCAGCGGGGGCCGTGGGGGAAGTGGGGGTAGTGGGGCCCTGGTGGGACAATGGTGGGGAATGTGCGGACATTGACGTACTGGTGGGGGCGCTGGTGTGGGCCGCGGGGGCAAGGGTGG